CCCACAAAAAAGCGCACATTTGAAGGTTTAAAATATTTTTTAAAAATGAATTTATTTAGAAAACTTGTCTCAGAACTCTTGCAGCAATTCCAAGAAGTATATTACACTATTTGGAACTGTGTTCTTGAGACTATAACTTAGAAAAAACTGCACGAGTTCAAGAGTTATGTTAGACGGCTGTATCTTTGATAGGTTGTGTCTTTGACGTCCTTTTCTCTAGCAATAACGGAGGTAAAACTCTGAACGAGGAATTCTTCCTCATTAATGTCACCTTGACCATAATGTAGTTGATATTCATATTTTACATTCACAAATTTCGCCAGGTTAAAGTAGGTGTAAAAGAAAAGTATGCCGCACTTGAAATCTCCTACTGATGTCTTTGAATACTATATTTGGGGCAAAAAATATTTTACTTCGCAGTTTAAGTCCATATGGAAATTCAGAATCACATTATTCTCCACCTGCTTCGATGCACATGTACATATGACTTATCCATGTAAAATAATTTTTCAAATGTAAAATGCCGCACTCCTCTAGTTACGCCGTAGCCTGCATATAACTAGTTACTCTTCCTATAACTTAATATATATATTATACATTCAAATACACGATGAGACTGGGAATCCATATATGTATTAGAATAGTATGGGAAATAGCATGAGAGCTCATGGGAGTGTCCCTTTTGTCTGGTGACGAAGGTCGCAACACGAAGATGAGCAAAGATATGATATCATCTTAGCAGACGTGTTGAATCACATTTGCGTTTGAAGAATGCTGACGTAGACTAATGCGAGACAACCTCCCTCCCTCTCTTTTTTTGTTTTGTTTATTATTTGCGTTTATTTATTTTTGTTTTTACTTTTTGCATCTATTGCATTTGAGTATGTTTTTCCGCGATAAGTATATTTCGGATTTATTTGTCTAAAAGTACTATATTTCCATTCAATTTAGCATGTGAGTATTTTTGAGACATTAAATTTTGTGAAATTTTATTAATTAAAGTAAATTCCCAGTAATGTTTTGCCAATATGTTCATGTCACTGAAAAATGAAGATCTGCAATATTCTTTATGCATAATTTTCTAAATTTAAATATATGTAATAACCATGGTGAAATCCTTTAAGCTAAAAAAATATAAATAAGGCAGTTGTTAAGTCAAAAATATATTTATGGCAGAATTATTTTGATATTACTTTACGAAAATACTGAATTCTTTGTACATTAATGTCGGTAGATATCATTTTATTAGAAAAATGTCGAACATGGACCTTATAAGAGATAGACTAACCCAGTGGGCGGGATGCGCGTCACCGACATGTCGGCAAGAAAGAGTAGGGACGGTCTGGTTTACTTTAACACTGAAACCTATGGCGTTTGTATCACATAACTCTTTTTAATTATTAAATGTGATACGTTGTATAGTGATGAGACTATAAAATCCACAGTTTTTTCCAAATAGGATTTTATATATCTCATTAAAGCACTTTTTACTGCATATCGCGCCATTTTTTTCAAGCGTAGTTCTTGTACAAACATCTTTTCTTTAGTAAAACGGTAAAAACTCTTAAGCACAAAAATTTATGAACTTAATTTTGCGTAAAAATAAACTAAAATTAAATAAGATTGATAGTACGTGATGCTTTGAAATAAATAAGGTAAAATTAAACAAGATCTGATAATTTTTTTTTTTTAATTTAATGAACATTTTCAGGCAGTGATTTTCCAAACTATAATAACATTACAAAACGATCATATTTATTTGATTATATGATCATTAAATTATTAACATTAAAGTGGATTAGTTATTTTAATAATTCATAAATTTCGGAGCGTAATGAAGGGAAAGAAAAAAGATAAAATAAAATCTAGAAGTACTCAGATTTTATATTACGCCCAAAAGGAACATTTTTTTAAAGTTTTGTGTATATGTGTTTGTATAATATAGGTAACCCTATATTTATCGAATATCCTGTTCTTCGCCCGTAAACCACATACATTTGAAAACAGCATATCTTTAGAATTTCAGCACTGGACATAAAACATGTTATTTTTCCGTACAGTCTTGCCACTGCTAGCTTCTGAACTCGTTGAAGTTTGTTAATCAAAAATTCGTTAAAGTTTTACCAAAATATAAATAGATAATAAAACAAATTCGAAATTCAAAATTCGGGCCGTCCAGGATGCCCATGTTCGGGTGGAGGGATTACAATTATTCAAAATTTGATGGCTCTAGATACTCGTTGTTTTTGTCACAAGTGCCTGAAGACGTACATGTATTTCACGCAGATTCTTCATTTATTTAATTTCTTTAAATATAATACAGGGCGATAATATTTGGTAACAACAATTTGCAAGGAGACACGGACATTTATAGTAAAACAGCGCAAAATGCTGCTTCGAAACTAGCAGCTTTCTAGGCTACCGCCGCTTTGGGCTAATAAATTAAATTAACAGTAAATAAAAAAAAACTTTTACAAAACTAAAATTAAAAAAATAATCACTATAAAATACAAGCAAAATTAATTATTACGGTTAAATACAATTTTAATATTAGAATTAAATGTATAAAAAATTTTAAGGAGTCAAAAATGTTTATCACTATGATGTATTATGAAATATAATTGAAACTAAAATTCCTTTATAGAAACTGTGCTATAATACTCACCTATAATTTTAAAAAAAGCAGCACGAAGTTAGAATTTTAAACAAAACTTTCAGAAATTCGATTTTTAAATATTTTAGTGTTTTTTACTTATTTACACCGAATAAAATAAAAGGCATAAAAATTGCAAGAGAAAATTGTCTGTTTGAAATTTTCTATTAGTACAGATTTAAAATATTATTTTTCTAAAAGAAGTAGTTACAAATGTACCTTACAGTATAGGAAAAGCTAAAAGGAATATCCAGCCCTGAAAGCGTGCAATAGCTTTATAATTATTTGGAACGTTAATTATGCTTGATAAATATGCTAAATTTTTAAAAATCAATCTCAATTTCAAAAATTAAAATATGGAGAAATTCTAATTTGTGAAATGTGGCGCTACAACCAGCTTTTCCTTGACAATTATACACGCTGCAATAGGCAACCAGTGTTAAATTTCTGCAAGTCTTCCCTACTCCTCCGGATGCGATCAAGGTGACAGCCGGCAACGCCTCAGACGAGGGAGAAAACCCGTTTGGGTTAGTCTATTTCTTATAAGGTCCATGGTCAGAATCCACTGACGTATGCAGGTTCTATTTATATAACTGATTAAAAAAAAGAACTGAATTCATTTATCTTTTCTGATGCACGTTGAATCTGACGAACCACATTCTGAAAAACCACAATTCTATTTCTTGACATCACATTTTATTTACATAAAACATTCAAAAGGAAAAAATTAATATTTAAATACATTTTCTTGTAGAGCCTCTCTTTTTCTATTATGGCTGTACGAATCAATTTATCCGTCCATCACACGGATTCGAAAACGAACTATCTACTGTTTACAAAAATTAATAAAAAAAACAAAGTTTTAATTCCTCTCACTAATGGAACCTCTGGCGCCCTCTAGCAAGGAAAAGACACTTTAGATGAACATTTAACTCATTTTGACCGCTCTCTATTCCATTTGAACGCTGTTTTTGCGTAACATCTGTACGTACAGATAGAATAAAGGACTCTCTTTCCCAAAACGGATTGTGAAATGGACTTAAAATGGATTCAAGGGAGATTTTTTTCGTGACGTCTGTACGTACGTACGTATGTATGTATCCCGCTTATCTCCAAAACATGTAGCTTCAGAACATTGAAACTTTGTATATGGTACTGCTATACCGTGTAGATGTGTACCTCCCTTTTTGGTTTCAATCGGCTGCACCAAAAGTATGTAAATATACGCATATATATATCTATTCTCTTACTCGGCTCGGTGAGCTAAATTTTTTTATTCTTAAAAGTTGGAAATTGTTAATTTTGGCTCTAAAAGTGAATGAATTATATTGTTCTTATCCGGTTAAAGTTTTTACGCCTTTAATTAATCTGCATGCAATAATTGTAGAATTATCAACTATTAAAAGTTGCTTAAGTTTCGCTAAGCTTAACAACGTCGCCATTTGTTTACATTTGAAACTTATATATTATATAGCATAGTGAATTAAGTCAGTTTCTACACCAACTTCAGTGTCTTTTTGCCGAGTGTTGCCAAAAGTTTTGTGCATCCAAAGATCTGTCTTTCTACCTAATTTTAAATAATTTAAACTTCATTTTAATTGTGAAAATTTTTAAAAATTTTGGTATTTTGGGTTTTTCTGTATTTTTCAATTTTTAATGAAGATGTTTTGAGTCTTTATATATATATTCCCCTTGCATCGAAGGGAGACCTGACTTGATTGATTGAGAAATATATCTCTAATAAAATTCGGGGAAATAAGTTTAAATGAAATGCAGCGAAAATGTGCATAATTTTAACCCTATTCTCGAAATTGACTATATATGTAATTTCGTTCATTTACTACGCAGCTAATAAAATCTATCATAATTCTCACGAAAATGCACTACATGATTAATTCCATAACGTACTACTACTTGATTTATTCCATAACATAGTGTAATAACACGTCTAGCGTGTTGGGAATAATGATGTTTAACGCATTAAACAACTTTCCTCCCATAAGCCTTATATTTTTGCTCTCCTAATGAGAGTATGCTCCGACATGTGAATCAGATATGGCAAAATGAAACTACAAATATTCACCAAAACTTCCAATTTACTGATTATTTAGAATAAAATCTCGTTCGCTTCATTTAATGAAATTATTTACTTCATTTTACAAGCATTCATACTTGCGTTTCTTGTACAGTGCCAAACAATACAAGCAATTAAAAGAAAACGAGTGTGATAGAAAATCTCCAAAATAGCCGAAGGTATTCTGCCCGCACATTTTCAATATTTACCCTAAATTTACATGAGAAATTTCTCAAGAAGCTCCTTTACTACTATTTTATGTATTTTCAGGTCCTAGCCGGGATGACTATTGCCCGCCTGAAGATGTGGACTTCATTCAAGCCGAGATCTTGAAGATGCTGGAAGAAATCTATGGCGAACTCGACGTCCATCAGGATTACGACATGGATGCCTCCGAAGAGGAAGTCCCTCCGCTTGTTCGAAGAGTTTGTTCCTCCGAAGAGGAAGTTCCTACTCTCGTCGATCCAGAATCTATGAATCCTCAGATCCACCCGCAAAAGCCAGAGAGCTCTTCAGGTCTTGAGAATCAGCGAACGCCTGAAATCCTTGATGCACCAGAAGACTCTGGCGATTCACTTGCAAAATAATTCTTTTCTAGAATGCTCAACAACACATGATTTACATGAACGAATCGCTTACGCTTCAGCAGACTAATGTAATTTGCAAAGATTTGCCAAACCTAATTGTATACGGAGTTATTAAACTTCAATGATTCTTCCTGGCTTTCTCCTCATTTTTTGTTATGTTTTACAATATTCTTGTAATAATTCTTGCTATCTGTTTCTGAATGATGCAATATGGTGCAATTTCTGAATATGTGCAGAACGTTCTGAATTCGAAATGAATATCTGGGCAGGCAAAATTATGTTAAGACTGAATCCAAGTATACATCTGATGGTTATGCACTACATCATTGCTGATCCATCATTACATTGGGCTATAGGAACCTTCAATAAAAATACCTTAATTTTTGTAAATTATTTACAAACACTAAAATAAACGACATCGTAATCGGTTCTTCGTGATTATTATTCTTTCGACAATACAACTGTCGACAAATTATACAAAGAATAATGTTTTTGGTGACTTTGCAATATTTTTTTTTTTACAGAAAAAATCCTCTGATGATTTTCTTGTATTTTACGGTGCTAATTTCGATTATGAAGTTACAATTTCTTCATCTCTCCATATACTTCTTTTATTGGTATAGCGTAACTTTCCTTTCACGCTATTATTTTGTATCAAATATCAAATTGGCTACTTCCGTCAAAGGCATTAGGAATTAAATTCTAAAATTCTTGTTTTATAAGAAGAGCGTTTTATACATAAACACTCCTTTGTACTTGTGCCAGCACTCTTATGGAGGCAATCTGTTATTCGAAAAGGTGAAATCTTCATAAGGGGGCCGGCATAAAGATATAGGTACCCTTATTAAGATCAGCTTCTAACTTCGAAATGCTCAAGCGAAACTATAACTAACTATCAGTTAATGAGAGAAGTTTCTAACTTGACAAAAGCTATTACTATTCAACAGATCTTGTTTTGTGACGTTGTATTCGTTTATGTAAGAGTGAAATTAAACTGCTCTTGCCATTTTCATTGTGGCTTTCGAATAAAATTAGCACTTGCTTTTAGTGATTCTAAAATTTGATTAGTTTCGAACAAAATGAAATGCTCCAACGTTATACGTAAAGTTCTGAATGTAGATTCTTGACAACGCGTCTTATGTAACTTCCGAAAAATGGATGCCCAAAATATGTATTTAATACGATTTTAGAATCAAAATTTCTTCAAAAAATTTAATCAGATATAGCATGTTTATTTCAATTTCAAATTCTAAGATTTTCTCTCTCTCTTTTTTTTTTTTTTTTTTTTTTTTTTTTTTTTTTTTTTTTTTAGCTTGAAAGGGGCAATTGCCCAGAAGGGCTATTAATTTCGTTTTGTCATTTTGCGTTGGTTCACACTTATAAACGGCATTTCACTTTTCAAATTGTTGCCACCAAATATTAGAGCCCTACATTATATTTAAAGAAATTAAGTAATGAAGAATCTGCATGAATGTATGTATGTTTCTCGCACTGTGAAAAAACACATTAAATTTTGAGTAACGTAATCCTCCATTCGAATATGGACATCTGGAAGCCAAAATTTAGAATTTGTTTTATTATCTATTTCATATTTTGTAAAACTTGGACGAATTTTTGATTAACAAACTCAAAGATATCAAAGCTAGCAATGGCAACACTATACTGGAGGGGGAATAATTATCTCCAGTACGCGAAACTGTGTATCGGAAATTCTAAAAATATGCTCATTTTAAATTATTTTGTGATGTTGCTGTTGAAATGAATTTTATGGTTTAAGTGCGAAGAAAATGATATTTAATAAATAAAGGTAACACACAAAACATTAAAAAAACCCATTTTTTTTGGACGTAATATAAAATCTGAAGGTTTTTCAGTTTTTTTTAGTCTTTTATTTACTAATTTATTTTATTAGACGATTTATTATTTTTTCTTTTATTTCTTTTTAAAATCTGGATATTTTTTAGAATTTAATTCAGATTAAAATGTTTTCTCAAAAGTCGAAGTCTGAACCGTGCTTAAATTAAGAAATCTTATAAAGCCTTAAAATCGGGATTTATAGAGGGGTAAATCGGAATTCTGTAAGCTGTATTAAATAAAATCACGCAAAAATTTTTGTGCTGTTAATCCGAAAATTGAATTATTATCACGGCATTTGTCTAACTATAAATGTTTTTTGTCTCACTTGGTTTTCGCTCATATTCTCCAACTCCCAGCATTTTCTGTGAACATAAAGCGGAAGATTTCGCGTGAGTATTTTGGGGGAAGGGGGTCATCACTTATCTCTTCGCCTGAGAGTGTTGAATGATGGGTCCCTTGAGGAGAGGGGCACACCCTGTTGAGCAACAACATTTAGGAAATGACACCATTCATTCTATATCTGTTTCATCGATGATCACAAATCATGTGCACTGTTGACTTTTTTGTGTTTCCGAAAAACGAACGAATTAAAAAGCTAACTGTCAGTTACTTGATTGAAAATTACACGAGGGAAAACCTCTCTTCTGGAACGAAATAATTCCTACTTAGAGGCCTAGTTAATACTTAAGGAAAGATTAAAAATATATTAATTTGAGAAATTAAAAAATTCATCTCTGTCAGGACTCTCGGAAATTGCGATAACGGAAATAGCGTTCAAATGCAGAAATCAAAGCAAAAGGGGAAAATTTTAAAAAAGATTATAAATAAGATTGAAGTATAATCGAAATTTTAATTCATGAAAGTACTTCGTACTGTAGAATTTTAAAGTTACTACTAGGGGGAAGCCTTCCAGATGAGCGGGCTGCAGCCAAAGCAAAATTTGTAAGTTCTATTTACCCCTGAAAAGCAAATGTATGGAAACATTTGAATATGAAATAAATTAGTTCATTCTTTCCAAACAACAACCAATTCGTAAATATTTTTTTTTATTCTCGAACCAGGAAACAAAAACTTTTGGCACTTCGGGTTAATACGTATGACGTCATGATTTAAATTAAATGTAATATAACAACGTTTTCTCAATATTAATAAAAGAATTATTGTGGCAAGAATATATCGTGTCAATTATACTAACCTGAAATAAAAAGTTGCCAACAGCAGCTATATAATAATAATAATATGTTTAATGTTTGGCAATGTTATTTTTATTTCATATTTTGTAGAACTTATAAAATTTTTAATTAACAGTCTCTACGATTTGAAAACGAGCAGCAGTAGCAACATATTTCGAAATGAAGTGTTTTTATCTCCAACTTGCGAGATTGTTGCCACTCGGAAAAATGAGTGTTATTGATGTTTTTAATTGATATCTCGGCTGATTAAAGTCTTACGAAGATGAGAGCAGTCGAAATGGTTTCCACGAATTTTTACAATCGGGAATAATATATTTAATGTTTAGCAACGCTATTTTTATTTCATATTTTGTAAAACTTAGAAAATTTTTATTAACAAATTCTACGATTTGAAAGCGAGCAGTGGCAACACTTCGCGAAATAAAGCAGATTTTTATCTTCAGCGTGCGAGACTTGCCACTCGGAAAAATGAAGGCGAACATTAGTGTTTTCAGAGTTTTTAATTAATATCTCGGCTGGTTAAAGTCGAACGAAGGTGAGGATGACCGTGATGGCTTCCACGAATTTTTCGAATCCGGGAGTATCTCTCTCGAAATTCAACTTCCCGCCGTTCCGAAGAGATAATACCACAAACAAACAAACCGGCGATAAGATTATAATACTACTATTAATGTAAATTTAATTTTGCATAATGTTCACTATGAAAATGAAAACAACTATATCTTTATTTTAGTTGTATGTAACGACGTATAACCGAAATTATGCAACGTATGAACGAAAGATTTTAGTATTAGAACGAATTGGAATGAATCGAAAGTGAGACGAAATTTATTCTATATCTGTAGGGAAAGAAGCTGTAAATCTCGATGTCAATTTCTAGACTTCTTATTATTAAGAGGAATTGAAATTGTTTAATTATTTTATTAAAAAACACATTTTTAATTAAATATAATATAATTTTACTTACCAAATTCGCGTTCAATGCAAAACAAGTTATCCCGAAAAAAGTCATTTCCATAATCTTCCTCATTGCATAACAGCCTGACTGAATTTTTACGTAATAAAAATAATTGTAACCGCAATTTTACATGGTATATGCTTATCGCAACAAAAGTCCTCGTTATCACCTTCATCATTACTGTCACTACATTCTTGTCATTTGTCTTCTGAAGATGAAGCTACTACAATTAGGCAAATTTTCGAATTTTATTTTAGGGAGTTTGCTTCTTATAATTATAGCTCTTATAAATTATAAAAGCAAGTTAAAAATATTTTCATTTGCATTGTTCTCGATGACTTTTTTCTGGAATGTATTCACGTTATATTTTAAAATTTTTATTTCGCAATACACAAGCTTGCTTTGTCCAGGAGATGATATTTTGTTTCTCATTCGCATATAAAAGATTTGTGCATTGCTGTTGGATATAATATCGGGGATATTATATTCATCCGCCGTATGTATGCATGGACCCTTCACAATGCACCGATATCGCAGCAACCATGAATCCAAGAAGGAAAATGGTACTGTCAGAGGATTTTGTCATCACAGAACAGCATTGTTTAGTACAAGTTGACACACAGGCCCCGAATTAAAGAATTCTATTTTCCAGGTGGAACTATCTGCATGCTGCAGTCTGCTATGCACTCATCATGCACAAATGCCACGATTTGTACTGATTCGGGGTCTAGCCTTCTGGCCTAATTGGGTGATTGTAGCAGAAATCCATCTGTGCATGCCATTCGCTGCCTAATTTTCCGAATTTCTTTTTCTAAGCATCCTATTCTACAGGGTCATTCTAAATTCTTTTCACAAATTAAAAGGGATGCATATATAAATGCAACAAGTTCCAAATCAGATCTGCTTATATAATAGTCATCAATATTTACCACAGGAGTGGGAAAAGTTTGAATTTCCAGTATTTCGATTAAAATAATGTTTTTTGCATTGCAATGTAATGATCTTGAAACAGTCCATTGATAACATTTTAGTACTTATTTGTTTAAAGGAAAGAATTCTAATAGCGCATATGTAACAACTTTTTAACATCCTAAGAAAATCTGGAACAGTGGCTTTTTTTTTT